AGTCCCCCACGCCCGGCTCAGCGTTTTGTGGCCCCATAGGGAGCTCCACCGAAGGCCCCAGTGGGGGTGCCCGCATGCGTCTTCCACGCCCAGCACAGCGTTTCGTGGCCCCATACGGAGCTCCATCGAAGGCCCCAGTGGGGGGGGCCGCATGCGTCCCCCACGCTCAGGGCAGCGTTTCGTGGCCCCAGAGGGAGCTCCACCGAAGGTTCCAGTGGGGGGGGGCCGCATGCGTCCCCCACGCCCAGCACAGCGTTTCGTGGCCCCATAGGGAGCTCCACCGAAGGCCCCAGTGGGGGTGCCCGCATGCGTCCCCCACGCCCAGCACAGCGTTTCGTGGCCCCATGGGGAGCTCCACCGAAGGCCCCAGTGGGGGTGCCCGCATGCGTCCCCCACGCCCAGGACAGCGCTTCGTGGTCCCATAGGGAGCTCCACTCAAGGCTCCAGTGGCAGTGTCCGCATGCGTCACCGCCACCCAGGGCAGCGTTTCGTGGCCCCATAGGGAGCTCCACCGGAGGCTTCAGTGGCAGCGTCCGCATGCGTCACCGCCACCCAGGACAGCGTTTCGTGGCCCCACACGGAGCTCCATCGAAGGCTCCAGTGGCAGGGTGCGTCACCGCCAGCCAGGACAGCGCTTCGTGGCCCCAGAGGGAGCTCCACCGAAGGTTCCAGTGGCAGGGTCCGCATGCGTCACCGCCACCCAGGACAGCGTTTCGTGGTCCCATAGGGAGCTCCACCGAAGGCTCCAGTGGCAGGGTCCGCATGCGTCACCGCCACGCAGGACAGCGCTTCGTGGGCCCATAGGGAGCTCCACCGAAGGCTCCAGAAGCAGCGTCTGCATGCGTCACCGCCACCCAGGGCAACGTTTCGTGGCCCCATAGGGAGTTCCACCGAAGGCTCCAGTGGCAGGGTCCGCATGCGTCACCGCCACCCAGGGCAGCGTTTCGTGGCCCCATTGGGAGCTCCACCGAAGGCTCCAGTGGCAGGGTCGGCATGCGTCCGCGCCACCGGTTTCGGCGCACCCCTCGCACGGTTCGTGGCCCCATAGGGAGCTCCACCGGAAGCGGTACCCACAATGCGGCACTCGCAGTTGCATTGGTTGGGTCCTTCGTCAGGCTAATTTCCCAACCATCCTGTTGTGTTGGGTCCTCGTTTGACGGTCCCCGCGTTCTCCTCTTCCCTACTCCTCCTCCCCCCCTCCCTCCCTCCTCCCGTCAACCCCCTCACTTTGGCACACCCCTCATTCGTTTCGTGGCCCCATAGGGAGCTCCACCGAAGACCCCTATTGTGGGTAATGCGGTCCCGGCGCCCATTTTGGACACACCCCTCGCACGTGTCGTGGCCCCATAGGGAGCTCCACCGAAGGTCCAAGTGGCGGTGCCCGCATGCGGTCCCCACACCCATTTCGGCACAACCCTCACACGTTTCGTGGCCCCACAGGGAGCTCCACCGAAGGCCCTGGTGAGGGTGACCGCATGCGGTCCCCACACAAATTTCGGTACGCCCCTCACACGTTTCGTGGCCCCATAGGGAGCTCCAACGAAAGCCCTAGTGGGGGTGCCCGCATGCGTCCCCCACACTCATTTCGGCACACCACTCGCTCGTTTCGTGGCCCAAGAGGGAGCTCTACCGAAGGCCCCAGTGCCGGCGTCCACTTGCGTCCTGCACACCCCTCACACGTGTCGTGGCCCCATGGGAGCTCCAACGAAAGCCCTAGTAGGGGTGCCCGCATATGGTCCCCACATCCATTTCGGCACACACCCCTCGCACGTTTCGTGGCCCCACAGTGAGCTCTACCGACGGCCCTAGTGGGGGTGCCCGCATGCGGTCCCCACACCCATTTCGCCACATCCTTCACACGTGTCGTGGCCCCACAGGGAGCTCCACCGAAGGCCCTAGTGCGGGTGCCCGCATGCGTCCCCTACCCTCATTTCGACACACCACTCGCTCGTTTCGTGGCCCAAGAGGGAGCTCTACCGAAGGCCCCAGTGCTGGCGTCCACTTGCGTCCTGCACACCCCTCACACGTCTCGTGGCACCAAAGGGATGTCCACCGAAAGCCCCAGTGGCTGCGTCCTCATGCGTCCGCCGCACCCAATTCGGCACACCCCTCACAGAGTTCGTGGCCCCATAGGGAGCGCCACCGAAGGAGATATTCACAATGGCGGCACGCACAACGGCAGATGGTTGGGTCCCTCGCCAGGCTAATTCATTGCCAGTGACCGTTCGTATATTATCATTATCGAGAACGCCGGCGGCGCATCACAAGCCGCTGCCTGAGAGTTTGGCGACTGAATGTGCCAGGTTGAAGTCGTCTCGGATCTGGCACGGGCAGAGTGAGTTTCGAGTCGTTCTCGTGGCTCTCCTGGGAGCGCTTCGGCCCTCACCGGAGACGTCGGAGTTCTCTCTTGGGGACGTCTCGTGGCCTCTGGGGAAGGCGCTAGGTGGGGAGGGCGAGGGGGAGGCAGAGCAGTAGGAGGAGGAGGAGGAGGAGGAGGAGGAGGAGGAGGAGGAGGAGGAAATCGACGACGAGCCTTGGACGAGCACGAGAATACGGACAAGGAGCAGGTCGACGAAGAGGATGAAGATGAGGCAGTGGAGGCGTAAAGGAGGGAAAGAAGGAGAAGGGTGGGAAGGAGGATCTGGAGAAGGAGGCGGAAGAGGAGTCGGAGGTGAACCCGGAGGCTCAGCAGACCCCAGTGGCACCCACCCCTCGCAGCAGGCGTGCAGGTCCAGTGCCCTTCACGTCGCAGAGGGTCGCGGCCCTTCGGGGCTTCGGGGCGGCGTTGGTCCCTGCTTTTGCTGGTCGCGGCCCGAGAGCGTGTCTCAAGATGAACACATCACAGTGGATCTCGGCCCTTCGGGGCAGCGTCGGGCCCTGTTCCCATTGGTCGCGGCCCGATGGAGTGTCTCATGATCGCTGGAGGCGCCAAGTGGTCCTGGCCCGACGGGGCAAGATGTGATCGCATAAAGTTGTTCGGTGTTGACCTTGCCACTTCGGAGGACGTAGGTAAGCATGGCTTCCAAAGTTCGAGGTGAAAACAGTGGGTGAGGGCCGCATAGGTGGGGAACGTGAGCCTGGCGCCAACGCACACGTGCGACGCTCTTGGCTCGCGTCTGTATATAACAGGCCGCCATGATGATTATGATGATGATTGTGATGACGGTCTTGGGTATGTTGCGTATGATACTACTAATGATGATGTGACGATGATGATGGTCATGCTGATGCTGATGATAATGGTGGTGGTGATGATGATGCTGATGATAATGCTGCTGATGATGACGATTATGATGCTGATGATGGTGAAGATGCTGCTGATTCTGATACTGTTGATGATGCTGCTGATGATGATTCCTATCATGACGATTCTGATGATGATGATGCTGATGATCATGAGGACGCGGGTAAAGATAATGTCGATGATGCTTGTGATGATGATGTTGATGCTGATGTTTATGATGATGGTAACACTGATGGTGATGATGTTGGTGATGGTGGTGGTGATGGTGATGATGTTGATGTTGATACTTATGATTATGCTGATGTTGATGGCGATGGTGATGCTGATGCTGATGATGATGCTGATGCTGATGCTGATGATGATGCTGATGCTGATGCTGATGATGATGATGATGATGCTGATGATCATGATGATGACGATTGCGATGACGATGATGATGGTGATGAGGCTGATTGTGATGATGATGATGATGATGATGATGATGATGATGATGATGATGATGATGATGATGATGATGATACTGATGATGCTGATGATGATGATGATACTGATGATGATGCTGATGCTGATGATGACGACGATGGTGATGCTGATGATGATGCTGATGATGACGATGGTGATGCTGATGCTGATGATGATGACGATGGTGATGATGATGATGATGATGATCATGTTGATGACGATGCTGACGATGACGATGATGATGCTGATATGATGATGAGCTGATGATGATGATGATGATGATGATGATGATGATGATGATGATGATGCTGATGATGATGATGATGATGATGATGATGATGATGATGATGATGATGATGATGATGATGATGATCTGATGATGATGATGGTGGTGGTAATGATGATGATGAGGATGAGGATGAGGATGATGATGAGGATAGGAGTGACGATGATGATGATGATGATGATGATGATGATGATGATGCTGATGATGATGATGATGATGATGCTGATGTTGATGATTAGGATGATGATGCTGCTGCTGCTGATGAGGAGGAGGAGGAGGAGGAGGAGGAGGGAGGAGGAGGAGGAGGAGAGGAGGAGGAGGAGGAGAGGGAGGAGGAGAGGAGGGAGAGGAGGAGGGAATGAGGATGATGATGCTGATGGTGGTGATGGTGGTGGTGGTGGTGGTGAGCAGGCGGATGTAGAGGAGCAGAAGGAGGCCATGCAGAAGGGGGAACAGGAGGAGGTTGAGGAGGAGGAGGAGGAGGAGGAGGAGGAGGAGGCGGAGGCGGAGGCGGAAGCGGAGGCGGAGGCGGAGGAGGAGGAGGAGGAGGAGGAAGAGAAGCAGGAGGAGCAGGAGCAGGAGGAGGAGGAGGAGGAGGAGGAGGAGGAGGAGGAGGAGGAGGAGGAGGAGGAAGAGAAGAGGCCTCTCGGTGACCGCCTGGAGAAGCCGTTTGGAATCTGGGGGACCTCATAGGGAGCCTCATAAAGGGGCCTCATAGGGGGGCGTGTTGTCTTGGGGCCCCCCTTGGGGGCATGCTAAAGGTCAAGGCGGCATCGGGTAGAGCCTCCTGTGGCTATGTCCTTTTTCCCGTAGCCATTTTTTGCTCTAGGTTTTGGTTTTTCTTTCCGAAACAAGGGGATACCGCTAGTCCGCGGCAGTGCCAGGGTGCTTGCACCCGACGTGTCCTCCCCGACTGGTTCACTCCAGTTCTGATTCAATTCTGGCTTGGAGTTCGTCCTCCAAGCTCACGACCACGGCTCCTCGCCAGCGATGTCCTGGGGCCAGCAGGGGTACTTCGGCAAGGGCACGGGCTTCCCAGGTCTCCCTGGGCGCGCAGGTTCTGGCTGGCACCCTTTGGTTCCTGGCATTCAGTACGGTGTTGGTGCTTGTGCCGGCGCAGTCTATAGCAAGAATTGGAAGTGCGGTGCTTGGGGGTGCGCCAAGAAGCTGCGAGGTTCTTCAACTGCAAGCACTGAAGGTCGTAAAAGCCTTCTGCAGGTCAGCCATCGGCCTGGCTGGGGGACGCGGCCCAGCAGCTCTTTGATCTCAACAACGGCCTCCCTGGTAGCTCCGCGTGGGACGCCAAGGTTCCCCTGTGGAGAGCAGGAGGAGGGCCCTCCCTCGGCAAAGGCTGCGGCGGCCATGCCAAGGGAGGAGCCAATCAGCCCCAGGCCATGGGAGTTGGTGCTGCGACTGCGGGCCTCTCGGCGCAGGAGTGCGAGACCATGGCAGCGCTGCACGACAAGCTTGGCGAAGGGAAGCAGGCCGAGTCGTATCGTGGGGCCGCCGGCGCCGAAGGGCGCTCCCGAGTCCGTCCAGGTCCGCCTCAAGCAGGCTCACTTGGAGATGCGGGGCGTCATCAAGAAGCTCGAGTCGGCGCTGGTGAAGCACGAGGCATTGGAACGCCAGCTGGCCGAGCAGAAGACGGTGGTCCTGGAGCTTCGCAGTGAGCGCATCATGGCAGAGGCTGAGCACAACAGTCTGGTGCAGTGCCTGCTCGAGTCTCAGGAGTTGCCGAAAGACGAGCAGCCCCTGTCTCCGTGCAAGCTGACCATAACCGTTTCGCGCAGGTCTCCGACATCAGTGTTTGTGGTTTGTTTAGTTGTGACGGCCATGACCTTGACGAAGAGGACAACGCGGAGATGGGGTCGCGCGTGCAGAAGCTCAAGCAGGGTCTCTCGTCAATGGCTGGCTGGCGCTTAGTTTGCGGATGCGAAGCAGAAGATGGACGAGCCCAGGCAGACGCATGCGGCGCACCTCAAGAGGTTGGCAGCCAAGCGGAGACTCGCCAACGAGGACGAGGAGGCAGAGCTTCGGGGCGGTGGAGGCGCTCCGCCAGCCGCCCCGCACCCTGGGGCTGGAGCTGCTGCGGCTGCTGAGCGCCCAGCCCCTGCGTCCGTATCCAGCGGGTGCACTACCTCTCTGCGCCTGCTTCTCCAGGCCGGGCCGCGGGGGCCAGGGTCGACGGGCAGGGCGCCCCTCCGCAGCCTGGTGCCGCCGCGGCGGCGACGACGGGCACCGAGGCCAGTGGCGGGGGCCCCGCCTTGGCCCCGACAGCTGGCCCCGCCCGTGAGCGCGCAGATCGCGTCGCAGGCGTGGCCCCTCAGTCCGCCCCCCCCCCCCCCCCCCCCCCCCCTGGAGGCGTGCCATAGAGCCCTTCTGCTCGTCGGTCGACTCGTCGGTCGCTGGGGGTCCGTCGGTCCATCGCTCGATTTGTGTCCCCCAGGGGGGACTAGATGGTTTTGATGCATGCAAGAAGGTCCCTTCCGCTGCTCGAGCCTACCTTAGGCGCAAGAGGGGGCCTCAGGTAAGTCGCCACACGCCGCCAAACAGTCAGAAGCTGTTGTCAGCGCTCCGCTGGAATTTTCCTTGCCGAGGGCGTTGTATCCTGTGCTCTCCCTTGGTAAGCCATCGTGCAAGGTTGACGTGGAGGCCCCCCCCCGCCTCGGCCGTCTCTCGCCCCCATGTTAAGCCTGGCGAGCTTGAGGAACATGAGGTCTCAGGAGCGCCATGGCGCGAGTCTTTTCGTTTGGGCGCGCGCAGCTGCCAGCGCAGCTCCGCCGGCTTGAATGCGTCGTTTCGCCGGGCTAGCAGCGTGAGCCTTCCGCTGCCAGCCCCCCTCGTTGACAGCGAACACTCTTCGGATGGCCTCTCAGCTAATAGTCTGGCGCCCCTCGCGATCCGTCTCGTCGATGCCGACTCATGGGGCGCGTTGGAGGGTCTGTTGGGAGGTTTGCCCGCCCACGTCGTGCTCGCTCAAGAGCGCCCTCTGATTGCGAAAGAGAACATCGAGCAGGCCAGTGCTTGGTGCACCCGCAGAGGATGGAAGTCGGTCTGGGCCCCAGCCACCCCCACTCAGGCTCAGGATTCCAGCGGAAGGGGTTGCCATATCTGCGCGTGCCTGGATGGGCTGCCTGACCATCGATGGTGCCTTCGCGGCGGTTGGGAGATGCGTCGCCTGTTCGGCTTTCCTCCCTGGCCCCCCCCCACCGTCGTCGCGTCCGCGTACCTTCGCCACTCTGAAGGCCTCAGCGATACCAATCTTAGTCTGCTTGCCAAGTTAGGTGCGCAGCTGTCGGCAGTCGGCCAGCCGCGGGTGCTCGGGGCTGGTTTCAGGTTTGAGCCAGCCGGGCTCGAGTCTTCTTCATTCGTCTCTGAGCTGAAGGGCGGCCCCACCTTGCCTGCGGCTGCCGCCCACTGCCCCGCGCCCCCCCCCACCCCAACCCCCACCGCGCTCGATTAGTTGGTGTGTTCAGGAGGCATGGCCAAGGGCATCAAATCGATCGAGGCGCTGTTGGACGCGGGGCTCTCGCCCCGTCGCCTTATCCAGTTAGTGTTCCATCCCCTGTTGGCCGCCCTCCAGGCCCCCCCCCCCAGGTCGCCCCCGCTGCTTCGGCGGAGCATTGTCTTGAGGAGGGGGGCTCGGATGGGGCCGAGAGGTTGTCGGGGCCGCTTTGCCGCGGTTGGGCCGACGGGCCGACCGTGCCTGGCGCGACCTCGCCCCCCTTGCCGGAGCCCCCCCCCAATGCTTGGCGCCCGCGGCCTCGGCCCCCAGCTCGCGTGGAAGCCCATGGTCGCTCAGGGCGGGGATGTGCGGCGCCTGGCTCGCCGAACCACCGGGCGGTTGGGGCAGCGGCTTCGCGCTGTCATTCTCGCCTTGGGGGCGCGCGCGCACCACTGCCGCGATGTTGGGCGGCTTGCTGGTGGAGCCTCCGCCCGACATCTCGGCCGCGAAGGCGAAAGGCGAGCAGCTTTTCAGCCGCGTGGCTCAGGAGGTCTCAGCCTTTTTAGCATCGGATGGGAATGTCGAGCCACTCGCTGATCCGCGCACTCAGGTGCATGGAGCTGTTCAGGCTGATGACGCCAAGTTTTCTGCGCAGGGCCGCGCAGACTGGTCTGCCTGGCTGCGCGTCGGGGTAGATGAAGGAGCTAGGGGGGTCCACCAGTTCGTTGGAGATCCGACGCCACGGGCGCCGTCCTCGACCCTCTCCGCTGCTGGGCGCGTGGTCCGCGACCCGCTTTCGCTGCCCACGGCGGAAGGCGTTCCGTTCGCATCGGCAGTGTGTGGGGCGAGGGCAGGGGGGCCCAGTTCGATTGGGTCTTGTGCGACCCTCTCCCCCGTTCGTCTGCTAGTGAGATTCGTGAGATGTCCAAATCGTATAAAAATTCGGCTGTTGCGGTGGAGTGGTTTCATTGTAAGCATACTTCTCGCTGTTATCGGATGCCGCGCTTGAGTGCTTGAGCGCCATTTTCTCGATCGTGGAGTCTCTTGGCTGCCTGCCGCCGCAGATGTATGTTGTCGCGTTGGCCCTCCTTCCGAAGCCGGCTGGCGCTTGCAGACCGATTGGGGCGCTCCGTTCTTGGTCCAGGGTCCAGGGCCGCTGTCGGCGACCCCTCGCCCTGAGCAGGGAACAGCAACGCCCCGAAAAAGGTATTGGGCCGCTGGTCGGTTTCGCGGGGCGGCTGACGCGGCCTGGGGGCAGGCGGCCACTGCCGTGGCTGGGTTGGGCAAAGGGGGGTCTTTATGTAGCGCGCCCGTTGACCGTCGCGCGCTCTACGGGGGCATTTGTCTCAAAGAGCTCAGGCGCAGGTGTGAGGAGCGTGGGTTTCCTCTGGTCATCGCCAGGCTGTGCATTTTTGCGTGCAGATGTGGTCGCCCCCTTTGCTTAGGAGGTTGGCTCGAAGGCCCCTGCTTCTGTCTGCGAGGCGTCATCACTGGCTGTTCGGTGGTCACGACGGCGGCGCTTCCTCAGGTCTAGTGTCGAAGGGGCTGGGGCGCTCAACAGTGTTGTTCAGTATTGTTTCGGTTTTTCTCTTGCGTTGAACAAGAATGCGGTTGTGGCCTCCTCGAATGCGATAGGAGATGAAGTGTCGTTCGGGCTTCTTTAACTTGGAGGGGATGTTACCTCGCGCGCTGTCAACCTGGGCGTGGATTACACTGCTGGTCGTACCCTCGGGGTCCAAAGCCGTTCGGTTAAGTCCAAGTTGAAGGTTGCGAAAGCTTCTCGTGCTGCCGACCGCCTTAAGAGGCGTGCCAATATTTTGTCTCGGCCCCAGGTTTTGCTGGTTTTCTCAGCGGCACCCCTGGCGGGGGCCTCGCGCGGTTTTGAAATCGCGGGCACTATCGGTCTGGAGCTGTCGCGCATGCGCGGGCAAGTTTGTGTCGGTTGTCAGGCCTAGCTCTCAGCTGCGTTCCCTGACCGCCGCCGCGCTGTTTGATTTTGATCGGCGCGGGCGCGCCGCCACCGCCCCCGCTGTGAGATGGTCGAAGGAGATCTGGCTCAGCCAGTCGGGAGCTTTCGGGCGGGGCATTTCGCTTCCCGCCCTGCGTCGCGCGTGGAAGCTGTTTTCTCCGACCCTGCCTGCTCTTGGAGGTCGGTCTCAGGTCCCGTATCTGCTCTCAGGGTGTCCCTGATTCGCCTCGGCTGGTGCATGGATAACTTCATGACAGTGCGATTTCGCTTGGTATGTTCTCGCCCGCTCTGATCAATATCCTCGTCACAGACGGCTATTTCAGGACGCTGGAACGGTTGTCGGGGAGGTAGGAGGGCCCCCCCCTTAGGCTGTGCTCTGATGTGCCACGCGAGGCTCTCGCCTCCAAGAGGTGCACTGCCTTGCAGAAAGCTCATGCCAGAGCATTTGCCTCGGAAGATTTTTCCACGGGGGACCGTGCCATCAGCTTAGGCTACTTGGTGGGCGGCCTCTGCCCCTTCTGCGGCGGCTTCGACGCGATTTTCCACAGGTTGCGGGGATGTGCGCGCGTGCCTCCCGCTGAGCTTAGATCGAGCCTCGTGGGCAGTAGCGCGGCGGGGGCCGCCCTGGCCGCCGCGGGCAGCAAAGAATCAGGTTTTGCGTTTATTGCCGGGGCTTGCCGCCACCCCGCTCGCCGTTCCGGGAAGCCCCTCGCCGGGTCGGGCGATGGGCCCTTTCTTGTGTGGCACCAGAATGACCTCGTCTCTCCCTTGGGTCTTGCGGCTGGCTCCCAGGTCTGGGGTGGTGTGTTTTGGCGGGTCTAGCAGCTGACGCGTCATTCGTGAGCTTTCTCGTGCCGCCAGCAGTGTTCTTATGGTCGGCAGCTTGGGTGACTCTGCGGCCGGATGCAGGGCCCCCGCTTGGGCCCCGTATCCTCCGACGCCCGCGTCTGCCGAATTCAGCTGCTGAGCGTGGGCCAGTGTGCTAGCCTCGTCTAAGATTCAGGTGTATTCTGATTGCAGTAATGTTGTCAAGCTGGCCAGCAGACCCAGAGAAGAGCAGCTCTCGGGTAAAATGGCCTACCCAGGAGCTTTCTTGCAGCTCTACGCCCATGGCATAAAGCCTGCGCAGTGCCTCAAGGTAGCTGCTCACAAAGTTACGGATGAGAGCGGGGTCGATGCTGTCTAGCGCTGGAAGCGCCTCGGCAACCAGCGCGCAGACGCCGCGGCCGAGCAAGCCGTGCGTCTGCGTCCGTCCTGTCAGGGCCAGCTGGACGTTGCGGACCACCTCTTTTTTTTTTGCGCGCCAGACTATTCGTCGGGTGGCCCATGCTCTGCACCTGTGGCCAGCCTTGGGTCTCTCCGAGGGTGAGCGCGTGCCAGCCGCGCCCTCTGCAGAAGTGGCGCCCGCGGGGCACCGCTGGAAATCCCGGTCGGGCGCGCGGCGTTGCGCTGTCTGCCTTCGAGGGGGGAGGTCGGTGGCAAAGCCCCCCCCCTGGGGCCTGCCCGCTCGACCCCCCGCTGCGCGCTTCGCGCCTGGGCGCCCGCGGGCACCGCGCGATCGCGCTCGATTGCTCTGGCGGCTCTGTTCTTTTTTTGTGCGCGAGGTGCAAGTCGTGCTCCGGCGGTGCGTCTGCGCGGGTCTCCGGGGCCAAGTGCCAACCGCCGCCATCTCGAGCTGCGGGATATCGCTAGGGTGCGCTGTGCAGAGGGCGTCGCCTGCATTGCGTGCTTCGTGCTGCGGGCGTTGCGGTGAACGCTGACAACCTGTTGCAGTTCTTCAGCGCGTGCGCCGGAGTTCCTCTAGGGCCCCCCGCTCCTCATCATAGCGGGGGGCGCCTGTTCTTCTCTTTGAGGACTTCGATGCGGGCGTGGAGCTCCGAAAAAAAAAAACAAAGACTTTTTCCCTGATGGGCCCGTCCGCGGGAAGGCGAGAGCGCCCACAACTCTGAAACAACATGCGGCAATCGTTGCTTCTGGATTTGTTGGGCCCTCGCGGTGGTGAGCTCAGGGCCCTGCTGGGGCAGACCAGGGGAGTCTTGAAACCATCATGGGATGCCTTGGAGCAGAACCTCGGACACGCAGAAACATCGAACACCGAAACATCGAGCACTGTCGGGCTTCCAGCATGTGTGCTGACTTTTCGGAGCCTCTTCGGGTCCTCCTGGTTGCTTCTGGGGGCGGGGCCCTCGGTGGTCGTCTGGGGCTCCCGCCCAGGGCCGCTGATCTCTTGGGGCTGTGCTTCCCGCCTCCTGCCGCCCGTTCTCATTCGCTTGAGGAGCGGGGGCGCCGGCGGGGAACTCGGTCGAGGCACGCCGCCGAACGTCGCGGATCGTGGTGCTAATGTTCCGGATCCCCCGTTTTATTCCCTTCACGCCTTCGCCTTTCCCCTTCCCCCCCCTCCTCCTTTCCCTTCATCCCGCTCGAGTCTCCGCTAATCCATCAATAACTCACATTCCGTGGCTTTGACCACATACCTTGCACCGCGTGACGTTGACCGCCACAAAGCAACACTGCACTGTTTGGGCCCATGCTAGCTTACATGTTTACGCATGCTCCAGCCCGAACGTTCTTAGTCCTTCCAGAATGGCCCTCCCGCTGCAGCGTGGGACCTCTTTTCGGATTGGCGCCCTGCTGCTCACGTTATTGCGCGAGCGCGCCTAGCTCGCCATTCCCCCTCCGTTCCTCGGGCAGGACTTCTTTCCTGTCCAACAGTGCCTCAGCACCTTTCCGCTCTGCCTGTCGACGTGCAGGGGGGGCGGCCGAGTGAGAGAGCAGGAGCTACAACCATACTCAGTAGAGGCAGGCTCCGAGCTGAAAACATATGGCCAGCCGCATTGTTTCGCAATGTGTTTGAGCCACTCGTTTCGGGCTTGCCCCGGTCCGACTGCGCTGAGCTTCGCGCGTTAGCTTTCCGCGTGAGGTCGCCCGTGCGCGCCCTCTTCTCCGTGCCGCGCGGGCGGCCCGTGGCCGCTGCGCGAGGTCGCTGTGCTCTCTCGCGTGGGACCCGTCCTCTTCTCGTCGCTCCTCCTCCTCCTCCTCCTCCTCCTCCACTTCCTCCTCCTCCTCCTCCTCCTCCTCCTCCTCCTCCCTCCCCGTCCTCCTCCTCCTCCTCCTCCTCCTCCTCCTCCTCCTCCTCCTCCTGCTCCTCCTCCTCCTCCTCCGCGGCGCCCGCGGGAGCACCACGGGTCGGGCGCGCGGGCGCTCAGGGACGGAGGGCGTGCCGCGGCCTGGACCGGGCCAGTCTTGAGACCGTCTCCACTGTCGGGTGGCTGGGGCCGCTCGATCACCACCCACCCACCAAACCACCCCAACCCAACCTGAAGGTCAGATTTACCTTCGATTTCCAGTGGGGGGGGGGTCGGGAAACATCGAAGAAACACATGTGGAACCCTTACCCCCCCCAACCCGAAATTCGGGTCTTCGGGTTGGGTTGGGGTGGTCTGGTAGGTAGTCACTCGAGGGGGAGCGGCATGCCCGGTGCCAGAGGCCAGCGCCGGCGTCGGCAGGGCCAGTCGTGCTCGGGGGTCGTGCCGCAGTTGGCCCTTTTCTCTGCTCCCTTCCCTCCTTGCCTCCCCCCTTCTCGGGAGGATTGAGGTGGGGCCGGAGAGGGGGGAGAACGGACGCCAACGGCAGCCCCTTCCCGTTTTGAAGAGAACGCGCTGTCAGCGCCGATGAGGGGCGCTGCCCAGATGGGACAGAACGTCGCCTGCCCAGTAGCGGCCGCCGCTGGTGTTGCACAACATTGGCCGTTTGGCGCCCCTCCAGTGTTTTTTTTTTGCGCGTCGTATCCAGTTCGGGCGTGCCGAGGCTGTTCAATCAGGGGGTGGCCTTCATCGGCGTCGCCCCAGCGTACTTCTACCAGATGTGCGTCGCCCGTCCAGGGGCGACGCGCGCACCGAAAAATCTTATATAGTCTATGCGTCGTGGACGGGCGCTCTCTGACCACACCGCTCGGGAAACGACAGACTACAAGACGGGTGCACGCTATGTTCGGGCCGGGCGCGCGCCTCCAAGGAGGACACATGATTATCGGTACGCCTCTGTTTACGATGTCCCAACCTGCTTTAGCCTTGATCGCCAGAAACAATTTCGAGCACCAGGAAAGTGCTCCAGATGTCGTAATAAAGGGAGGGGGGTCTCATTTCGGGGGGGGTCTCTTCCAGGCTATCTTGGAGGGCCTGGGGGGGTCTGGGGACGATGTTTTGGAGGGTTCTCCCACGGGGGGGGTCTGAAATGGCTTGTCTTGGAGGGTCCATACCCCCTCCCTTTTATTACGAACTCTGGAGTAGACCACAGCGATGCAGCGACACTGGCAGTGATGCTGACCCGGGTCGGTCCGATCCCAGGTCTGTCAGGCCCTGCAGGGTCCTGCAGGGTCCTGCAGGGTCCTGCAGGATCCTGCGCGCGCAGGCCTGAGTCCGTGCACCCCTGGCCCTGCAGGATCCAGGAAGATCGTGGCCCCATGCTGCACCCAGTGTCTTGAAGGACCACATCCCAAAAATGATTATTCGAGCACCCAGAAGAGAATCGAAACTGTGTCGAGCGAGTATCGCCTTCCAGGGCCCGACACGTGAACCCCCCCAGTTACGGCTTTTTCCTGGTGCGCGAAATTCTTCCGAGTGATCAAGGCTAAAGTTGGTTGGAACATCATGCGGGCCTTCTCTCTCGAATAATAATAAAACTACATGCCATAAACATAAACTTCTGCGCTGGGGCCCCGAGGCGGTGCTTCCGGCGCCGCCCCTGGCGCTCTCCGCGCGCCAGGGAGGGGTTCCAGCGCGGATCCAATAAATGCGCGCGGACCGTCGAAAGTTTATGTTTATGCTGTTTTTTCCCCTTCTATTCCAGAAGGCTCAGGGGTCCGCCGTCCTCTGAGGAGCTCCTGATCCTCCCCCGAAGGCGCCGAAGAGACTCCTCAGAGGGCTCGAGGTGCTTCTGAGGGTCCCCGCCGCCTTCCGAGGAGGCCTTCTCCTTCTCACTCCCCCCCCCAGCGCGCCGCCGAACTGCAACTTTTTTGGGCCCCCCGACACTGCGGCCACGGCCGCCGCACGCACCTCCCGGGCGGAGAGCGATGCTGGCTTCTGAGAATCGGAGCCGGCAAAGAGGGGGGTGATGACTAGGGGGGGGAATATCATGGCGTGGGCCCTGATATTTCCCTAGACTTCATGGCGCCTCTTCTTATTTCATTACGTCCCTGGCCCCCCCCCCTGGGCCGCGCACGTGCCGCCGGCCATGCTTTGCACCCCCCCCTCTTGGACGCCCCCCTCTTTGCCGCTCCCAAATGTCCCTCTACAGGAGGAATAGTCAAAAACAGTCAAAACATACTCCGTGGATGTTCTTTCGACTGTTGTTTGGCTATGTTTGAGCATGTTTCTCGTATCGTTCCAAAGCCGCCTGCAGGAGGACACGCCCGACCTGACAGCAGGGCCCGCATCGCTCGGGCGCGTGCCAGCGTTCCTCGGCGAGGGCCTGCTCCTTCTCGCCAACTCCTCCCCCTTCTGCGCAGGCCCACCAGGCGCCAGAACTCTCGGCACTCTGGCCTCGGCAGGCAAATAGGCAGCGTGCACGGAGGGCCCCTCGGCCCCCCCGCGCAGGCCCTGGCGGGCCCCGCGCCCCCGGCGGCGCCGCGCGCTGCCTCTCTCTCTCTCTCCCTCTCTCTCTGTTAGGGGGGCACATGCGAACCCTAGGAGGAGGAGGAGGAGGAGGAGGAGGAGGAGGAGGAGGAGGAGGAGGAGGAGGAGGAGGAGGAGGAGGAGGAGGAGGAGGAGGAGGAGGAGGAGAGGAGGAGGAGGAGGAGGAGGAGGAGGAGGAGGGTGGGGTTCATTTCGTTCGGGAGCTCCCGAGCGAAGTGAACCCCACCCTCCCCCTTAGAAATCATGGGGGGTAGGGGTAGGGTTCGCATGTGCCCCCCTATCTCTCTGTCCTTCTCTCTCTCTCTCTCTCTTTCCCTCTCTCTCACCGAGCGCGTTCCGCTACTCGCGAAGTGCCTCTTCGCAGACGTCTGAAAAAACATGTCTTCCTGACTGTAATGGGTCGACAGTCCCCCGCGGCGGAGCCAGGCCATTGGCGAGCAGTTGCTCTGCGAGCAGTGGAGCGCGCTTGTGTCTACTCTCTCCCCCCCCTTCACTCGCCGCCGAAAGGCCTGGTCCGTGCCTCGCCTCCCGCTCGCCCCCTCCCCCCCCGCGCCGCCAGGACGCGTGCGCGCTGGCCGCGGAGGCTCCGCGCGCACGCCCCCCCCTCCCGCGCGAGAGGCGACCCGCGCCGAGCCCCAGCCGCGCGAAGAGCTTCGAGGCTCAAGAGACGGGGGTCAATGCCAGCGGGGGTCAGTCAGAGCGCACGATCTCGCAGGATCCTGCAGGGCCAGGGTCGCACTGACCTGGGCTTGCGAGCAGATGGAAGCGAATAGTCTTAACACGATTAACCACATGCCCACGATAATGATGTACCCCCCCTTAAGTAGTTAGAGTTTTTTTTATCGCCGGCCAATAAGAATTTGGTCGGGGGCGCGGGGGCGCGGAGGCCGAACTTCATCATCACGGGAAAAGTTCGCCATCGAGGTTATTTCCTTCTCATGTTGAGGTAACAACATCAAGCGAAGCGAACACGTGTGCTCGTTCTCTCTTTTTCTTTGTGTTGCTTTCTGTTTCTCTCTCTCTCTCTGTCTCTCTCTCTCTCTCTGTCTTTCTTTCTCCTCCTCCCTCTGGCGCCCTGAACTTGTTTATCGCTGGGGTTGATTATCCTGGGAAACTAAGCACATGAGCTACCCTACACGAGCAAATGAAAAGTTTAATTTCCATTAAGCGCTTACAAATTAAATCTAATAAGTTTTCAACTTTGGATGTTTGCTTCTACCTCCTGCTCTGCTTCTCCTGCTCTTCCTACTTCTCATCCTTCTCCTCTTCCCTTTCTTATTTCGTTATATTTCTCTTTCTATTTCTTTTTCTTCTTGTCTCCCTGCCCCCCTGAACTTGTTTATCGCTGGGGTTGATTATCCTGGGAATTCTAAGCGCATGAGCTACCCCTACACGAGCAGATGAAACTTTTAATTTTCATTAAGCGTTTACAAATTTAATATACTAAGTTTTGAGCTTTTGATGTTTTCTTTTTCGTTCTTCTCTCCTCCTCTTGCTCTTTCTCCTCCTTCTCATCCTCTTCCTCCTCTTCCTCCTCTACCTCCCCTTCCTTTTCTTCTCTTTTTGATGAGGAGGATGTCTCAAGCGAAACAAGCAATTCTAGACGCTTCGCGTATCCCCACCAGCCCGTCCAACCTTGGGTGCCTCTGGGGGGTCTCTTGGGGCCTCTTGGGGGTCTCTTGGGGGCCTCCTGGGGGCCTCTTGGGGGGCCTCTCGGGGCCATCTTGGGGCCATCCTGCGGCCTCTTGGGGCATCCTGGGGGCCTCTTGCGGCCATCGTGGAGGAACTCGATCAAAGAAGAGGGGTTCCTAAATTTCAGCCCCCCCCCTCAGGAGCCACGATCCTCGTGAGGGGTGTCGAATTTTAGCCCTCCCAGAGATCGTTCTTGGACGCTCTAACTACCCGCGGCCCCCCCTGTCCAGGTCAGTGGGGAGGGGGTAGGGGGAGGGGTAAACCCCTCCCCGACGGGGAAGAGGGAGGGGTGGAAGAGGAAACTCGTTAAACCACCGACGCCCAGAGGGCTGGTGGGATTCGTTGAGGATGTCTCAACCGAGACAAATCATTGTTGAGGATGTCTCATAGAGGACCAACGACCAAGGATCCTCAAGATATCTTTGGCTTTTTCCTCTTGATATCTCTTTATGCTGGCTCTGGCGGGCAACTTTTATTACCCCCCCGAAAACCCCGAACTTTAGTATCCCTTAGGGTTTATTATCTGCAGCATGGGGTTATTGTTGTTGCTGCTGCTGTTGTTGTTGTTGTTGCTGTTGCTGCTGCTGCTGTTGTTGTTGTTGCTTCTGCTGCTGATGCTGCTGTTGCTGTTGCTGTTGCTGTTGCTGTTGCTGTTGTTGTTGTTGTTGCTGTTGCTGTTGCTGTTGCTGTTGCTGTTGCTGTTGTTGTTGTTGTTGTTGTTGTTGAACATTATTTATTCTAAAGAATAATTATTGTTGGGCCCCCTGGTGCGCGCCCCCCCTGCGCCGCCTAGGCCGCAGCTACATTTTCATCATTTTCGTGAGGAAGCCTCAGAAAAGAGGGTGTGTACAGGATCCGGTTGTTTTGTTGTAATCCGCTTTCCCTTGCAAAAAACAATAGAAAATGACATTTCTTGTTCTAATATAATCAAATTTCAAGAATCCCTTGCAAAAAATAAGGTAAAGTGGACATTCGCGCGCGCAAGACGAAATCCTTCCAAAACCTTAGTGTTCGCAGCGATTTTAACATAAAAACATCAAAAAACCAATGGTTTTTCAACAAAAAATTGTCAAAATCTCATCCCGCGCGCTCTTGCGGATTCGTAGGAAACCCAACACTTTTTAAACATTTCTGTCAAACGGGCTTTTGCGAGCAACTTTTTCGAACTTCTGCGACAACGGTTGCGCACCTGCCAGGGCCATCATCCCTGTCAAATAATACCATGCGGGACACATTCGTTTTTTCTTCGCGCGCGCACGCCGAAATCTCCAAAAACCATTGGGCTTCTTAAGAATTTTAGCACCGCGCATCATAAAATCACACGAATCGCACCGTAGGTCCTCGAAAAACACCTGCACGACTTTTCAAAATTTCTACCCGCGCGCGCTGCAGCAGCATTGCGCCCCATCCGTGCCATCAGGGACGGGCGTATGCCAGAAGATGACGAGCACACGAACTCGTCTCTTTAGAGCCGCGGCGGGGAAAAGACGGTGGGTGGGCGTGCAAGCGCCGTTCCCGCCTCCTTCCGTTCTCTCTTCTCTCCTTTCCTCCTTGTCCTGCTCCTCCTCCTCCTCCTCCTCCGGCGGGGGGCGTGAGGATCCGGCATCGCTCACAACCATCGGGACAACCATCGGGACAACCATCGGAACAACCATCGGGACAACCATCGGGACAATCATCGGGACAGTCATCGGGACAACGATCGGGACAAGCACAACCATCAGGACAACCATCGGGACAATCATCGGGACAACGATCGGGACAACCACAACCATCAGGACAACCATCGGGACAACCATCGAGACAACCATCGGGACAACCATATCCTCTCTCTCTTGTGTATTCCCACATCCCTCAGGAATTTGCCCTAAAGATGTGATCAACTATCTTGTGAGTACGTATCATGTGTATCATGTGTATCATGTACCATATGCATCATATGCAACAGATGTTCTGTGGAAGGCTTAACAACTTCTGTGGGTTAACAAGGCTTAACAACTTCTGTGGGTGTACGAACGTAGGCTTAACAACTTCTGTGGGTGTGTACTCCACGCCAGTGTAGTAGCCACGGTCGTCCGCAGGCCACGAAGTGAAGTGTCCGAACGTCATAGGGCGGGAAGCTGGGTGTGGGTGGTGGCGAAGAGTCGTGTGGATATTTGGTAGAGCTTGCACTGCCCCCCCACAAAGTGGGGGTATTGGCTGGCGTCGCATGAAAACCCTGGCACTGGTGAGAACACTGAGCGTTCGGGTAAAGTGATTGTTGTTGTTGTTGTTGTTGTTGTTGTTGTTGTTGTTGAATATTCATTTCCAGAGAACAATTATTGTTGATATCCAGGATGCTGCAGGATCCTGCAGGCGTCTTGCAGGACCCTGCCGCGCGCCCGACTGGCCTGGGCCTGGATTGTGACCCGGGTTGGCAGGTCCCCCGAGCGCCGCCAGAGCCCGCCGCGCTCCCACGGCGCCCGCCTCGCGGGGCTCGGAGGCAGCTCCCGGGAGGTGTTCGGTGCGGATGGGGGCCCTGTGCGGATTCGGCTTGAGATCTGGCTTCCTTGAGATCCTTCACCAGCCTCGAACTTATCCCTATCCCTAAGATTGACGCGCCAAAAGGAGATGACAATCTTAGGGATACACCCTCAGAAACTGAGGAGATCCCTAAGATCGCCATCGTGATGAGGCGATGCCCAACGTAGGGATAGGGATATGTTCCAGGCTGGTAAGTCCTGGTGTTGCGATTTTTTTCACACTGGGCGTTCTCACTCCACTTCGGGCCCTGGGGCCCTCGGGGGTCGATCGGGCCTGAGAAATGGAGCAGTACGAAGTAAGATGGGGTCCAGGGGGTTGGTCGTGTTTTCTGCGATGTTGCATTTTTGCCAAAGTCGGGTCTCAGGGTTAGTCCCGGTCAACCTGGCTTCACCCCCCCGCTGAATCCACGACCCAATTTGGCGTAGCAGCTCCCCAATGAGGCGTGAGTTTGCTTCATCCTTCCGGCGAAGACCTCCCAGCCTTTGCCTCCTAATCTAGCGAGGAGCAGGCCTTGATGCTCGTTCCGCCGAGCGCCAGAAGGGCTTCGGGATTCGAAGAGGAAGAAATGGCATACGCATGAACCCGTGGAGCTCCGAAAGTTTCTGCTTGTGCAGCCCTTTGTTCTTCCTGTGGCGATGCGATGCCGACGCGATCAGCAACGGCAGTGACAGCAGCATGGCGCCTCGTACACTTCCTCTCTCCTTGCCAGTGGCAGCGGGGGAACCCTCGCTGCATGCTGATGCCTGCGAAGGTTCTGCCACAGAGGTGTACACGACAACACCAGACCACAGGGAACGAATAGTCCATTCCGGTCCGATCGATTCGATTCGATATCGATTTTGGCCAGCTCGATCCGATTCGATTCCGATATTCCGACGATACGACGAGGCCCGATTCTTGCAAGGCGCTGTTTCGTGCAGGTGCAGCCGGGCCCGATGCGCATGCCGATACGAGTTCCCGATTCGATGTTGCTTGATCCTGCCGGCAGCGCGCCACGCACCGCGCCCTTGCTGCGCCTCGGCCGCGCAGAGCGGGCCGCGTGTCGCGTCTGCGCTGCCCCTCTCGCGCGCAGACTGCGCTGTGTGCCTGGGCCCGTCGCGCTCCTCGATGTGGAGCCCGACGCTCTCCGAGCCGACGGCGCCGGCGCGCCGCCGGTGCCTCGGCGATGCGGCGCGATCCTCGGACCCCGTCGATTCGGGCCCACTCAGGCGGCCTCTGTTTCGGGGGAGCGTGGGACCCGGGTGTGCCAGGACTCGGGTTGGCCATCGTTTTTTGACGACCGCGCCTCGGATTTTGACGAGGAGGGGTTTCGTGGGATGTCTGCAGCGGGAGGCCTCGTCAAAGTGCAGTCTCGGCCTCGCCACTTTTTGACGACCTCGTCGGGGATGTCCGAGTCCCCTGTGTGCCCCGATCTTACGTCCCCCAGACTGTTGGGCGAGAACAGCATCTCAGCCGCGAAGGATTGCAAAAAAAAACCAAAGAAGGATTGCAAACCCAAAAAAAAAACGGATTGCAAACAAAACAAAATAAGTTTTTTTTTTTGTTGCAATCGCGCCTCCCTGCTGCCGCCGCGGCGCCCCTCTGCGAGTCGGCGAGCGGAGCCCGCGGCGCGCCCTCCACGGGCGCCACGGCCGCGCGGAGGGTGCACGGAGCCTGGGCGAGGGCGGCGCGGCGCCCGCACGAAGGGGGCCCCCGCACGGCGTGGCGAGAGGGAGGCGTGCGCCGCTCAGAGGCGAGAGCGACTTCCTCCTCCTCCTCCTCCACCTCCTCCTTCCCTTCTCCTCCTCCTCCTCCCCCTCCTCCTCCTCCCCCTCCCCCTCCTCCTCCTCCTCCTCCTCCTCTTCCACAAATCCTAAACTCCTAAACTGCTCCTAAACTCCTACCCCCTCTCATTTCAGTCTCAGCTAAACGTTGCTGTTCGGGCCAGATCGAGTCTACTTTTTTTCTGTTGCCCCTGGCGTGCGCTCTCCGCGCGCGGGCACGTGGGGCTGCAGCCACTGCTGGCTCTGATGCCTCAAGCTGAACGTTGCGGACTGGCTCCGCCTCCTCGGCCTGCAGAGGAGCAAAAATGGCGCGCGACAGGTGTGCGCCACGCCCAAGCGGGAGCTCAACTCTCGGGGAAATGGAGCCCAGCGCCGACGCGAGAGCGACGTGTCGCCGCCCTTTCGCGCAGGATGTGCTCCCCGCCCCATCCCATGTTGAGAGGTTAGAATGATGATGGCGATGATGCTGATGATGATGCTGGAGCTCATGCTGATGATGATGACGATGCTGATGATTGTCATGATGATGATGATGATAATGATGATGATGCATATTATGGTGATGATGGAGGTAGTGGTGTTGGTGATGATGATGATGGTGATGCTGCTGCTGATGATGATGGTGATGCTGCTGATGATGCTGATGCTGCTGATGATGATGATGGTGATGATAGTGATGGTGGTGTGATGATGAGGATGGTGGTGATGGTGGTGGCGGTGATGATGGTGATGATGACCCCGACGATGGCGATACTGATGATGGCGATATCGATGACGACTATCATGAGAACGATGGTGACGCGATTTATGAGGATGATGCTGATGCTTATGCCGATTCTGGTGATGACGAGTCAGACGACTATGATGATGCAGATGATGAACACCATGCGTACATGGTGAGAATGCGGGTTGGCTGCAGATGTTGATGTTGATGTTGTTGGTGATGCTGCTGATAGTGCTGCTGCTGCTGATAACGAGTATAGGGATGATGATGATGATGATGATGATGATGATGATGATCATGATGATGCTGATGACGGTGATTTTGATGATGATGATGATTCAAATGGTGGTGATGATGGAGTTGTGGTGGTGATGGTGCTTCCTGATGGTCGTGGACATGCTGCTGCTACTGCTGCTAATGATGATGCTGTTGATGCTGCTGCTGATGATGATAACGTCGACGATAATGATGCTGATAATGATGATGATGATGATGATGATGATGATGATGAAGCTGATGCTGACGTTGATGCTGATGAGGATGATGATGATGAAGCTGATGCTGATGATGATGACGAGGCTGATGCTGCTGCTGATGATGCTGCTGCTGATGATGATGATGGTGATGATGATGACGATGATGATGATGATGTTGATGATACTGATGATGATGATGACGAGGAGGAGGATGATGGGGACGATGATGATGATGATGATGATGATGATGATGATGATGATGATGATGATGATGATGGGGACGAGGAGGATGATGATGATGATGATGCTGATGATGATGATGATGATGATGATGATGATGATGATGATGATGATGATGATGATGATGATGATGATGATGATGATGATGATGATGATGATGATGATGATGATGATGATGATGATGATGATGATGATGCTGATGGGGACGAGGATGATGATGACGGTAACGGTGAGGGTTTTTGTTATGATGATGAGGAGGAGGAGCAGGAGGAGGAGGAGGAGGAGAAGGAGGAGGAGGAGGAGCACGATCAGGAGAAGTCGCTGCATGAGGAGGAGGAAGAGGAGGAGGAGGAGGAGGAGGAGGAGGAGGGAATAGCAGGCGGAGTAGGAGGAGGAGGACGGGGCAGGAGCCCCCTCCTCCCGCCAATCCCCCTCCACTTTGACCGGGTCCCATTTTTCGAGCCGGACTGCATTCGGACGGTCCCAGGGACAACCTCTTCGAACTGGCTTTGAGAGGCTACAAAAGACATGTCTCTTCCGTCCTGGTATCAACATGCTGAAGGTCTGGGATTCGCCCTTCCTCGACGGCGCTTCTCCCGCATCGGATCCTTCCCGCCCCCCCCATCACCTTCATGATCCTCCCTCTTCCGATCGACGCCTTCTCATCCCGCACCCCCTCCTCCTTATCCCCACCGCGGCTTGGTGGCGTCCATCCTCAACAGGTGGCGTACCCTTTCTTCCCGAAGCTCCTCATCTTCATCTACTGTAGGGCATGTGGATTGTAATTTGCCTCCAGCGTGTTGGATCACGAACCAATCCGGGGGGATGCCAGCTCATCCTCTGAGCAGGAGCGCTCCCAGCGAATTGCACAGCAGCGGTGCGACCCTGCGCCCGCACGAGCATGGAGGGGGGGTCGATCCAACTGCGGTTCGACAGCACGCCTGCCTGCGGATTGGCCGTGCTGCATTTGGCTCAAGCCTGAGATGGAGGAAAGCCCCATTCCTCCTCCACACTCTCATGGTGGCCTGGACTGGCCGCAGTACTCTGGAAGCCGCAGCCCGACCTCCACCATCAAATCGTGGAACGGGTGGCCAGCCGAGGCAGCCGACTGCCTCCCGAGAGCTGCCCTCGGGGTCCCACCAGGGCCCCAGTGGGGCCCACTCAGGCTACTTCCGGCCTTACTGGCCTAGCTGGAAGACTACTTGATTGCCGTCGCCGAGGCTATCCAGAGGGCGACGTTGAGACCGAGATCAGCGATGAAGGATTCTATGAGGTAATCTGCGCATCCGTTCGTCCGGATGTTGCTAGAAGTGCCCCTGGCCCAAGGTACCCCCAGGAATTCCAAGGAGGCCCCCTCGCCTTCCAGAGCACCCTCACGAGGCCCAGAGGGCCCCAGGGGCTCCAGAAGTCAGCGAAGAGCTGGGGGCACCTCGGACTAAGGGCACCCATGAGCAACCCCCGATTCGTGGACCAGCAGCCGCTGATGTCCACAAGCCCTCCCTTTCCCCTCTCCTCCGCCCTCGTCGTGGTTCTCGTCGCCGTCGCCGTCGTCGTCGTCGTCGTCATCGTCGTCGTTCCCGTCGTCGTCGTCCTCGTCGTCGTCGTCGTCGTCGCCGTCGTCGTCGTCGTCGTCGTCGTCGTCGTTCGTTGTCGTCGTCGTCGTCGTAGCCGTCCAGGTCCACGTCCTCGTCGTCCTCGTCGTCGTCGTCGTCGTCGTCGTCGCCGCCGCCCTCCTCGGCAGCGCCCCCGCCCCCCCGCGCAGCGGCCAAGGCCTGGGCAGAAGCGGAGGACGCTGGCGGCTGCGGAGGCGCAGGCTCGGGGCCCGAGGGCTCGCGCGCGGACGGCTTCCGCCGTCGTCGTCGGCGTCACCAATGCCGTCGTCGTCGTCGTCGTCGTCGTCGTCGTCGTCGTCGTCGTCGTCGTCGTCGTCGTGCTCGTCGTCGTCGTTGTCGTCGTCGTCGTCCTCGTCGTCGTCCTCGTCCTCGTCATCGTCCTTGCTTTCGTCGTCGTCGTCGTCGCCGTCCACGTCGTCGTCGTCGCCGCCGCCGTCGTCGTCCTCGTCGTCGTCGCCGTCCTCGTCTTCGTCGTCGTCGACGTTGTCGTTGTCGCCCTCGTCGTTCTCCTAGTCGTCGCTCACGTCGTCCTGTTCGTCGTCGTCGTCCTCCTCGTCCGGGTCGTCGTCGTCGATTTCCTCGTCCTCGTCGTTGTCGTTGATGTCGTCATCGTCGTCGTCCTCGTCGTCGTCGCCATCGTCGTCGACCTCGTTCTTGTCGTGGTCGTCGACGTCATCGCCGTCCTCGTCTTTGTCCTCGTCGCTGTCGCCGTCGTCGTCGTCGGCGTCGGTGTCGTCGTCGTCGTCGTCGTCGTCGTCCTGGTGGTCGTCGTCGTACTCGTGGTCGACCTCGTCGTCGTCCTCGTCGTCCTTGTCGTCCTTGTCATCTTCTTCGTCGTCGTCATCGTCGTCGACCTCGTCCGAATGGTGTTCGTCGGCGTCATCGCCGTCCTCGTCGCCGTCGTCGTCGTCGTCGTCGTCATCGCCGTCGTCGTCTTTGCCCTCGTCGCTGTCGCCGTCGTCGTCGTCGGCGTCGGCGTCGTCGTCGTCGTCCTCGTCGTCTAACTCGTCCTCGTCCTCGTCGTCGTCGTACTCGTGGTCGTCCTCGTCGTCGTCCTCGTCGTCCTTGTCGTCCTTGTCATCTTGTTCGTCGTCATCGTCGTCGACCTCGTCCGAATGGTGTTCGTCGACGTCATCGCCGTCCTCGTCGCCGTCGTCGTCGTCGTCGTCGTCGTAGTCGTCGTCCCCGTCGCCGTCGTCGTCGTCGTCGTCGTCGTCTTGCCCGTCTTTTTCTTCGTCGTTGTCGTTGTCCGCGTTGTCCTCGTAGTCGTCCTTCGTCGTCGTCGTCTTCGTCGTCGTTGTCGTCGAAGTCCTCTTTGTCGTCGTCGTCGTCGTCGTCGCCGTCGTGATCGTCGTCGTCACCCTCATGGTCCTCGTCGTCGTCGTCGTCGAAGTCCTCGTCATCCTCCTCGTCATCGTCGTCCTTGTCGTATTCGTCGTCGTCCTCGTCTTTGTCGTCCTTGTCGTCGTCGTCGCTGTCGTCGTCGTCGGGCTCGTCGTCGTCGTTCTCGCCGTCGTCGTCGTCGTCGTCGTCGTTCTCGTCGTCCTCGTTGTCGGTCGTCGTCAGTCTCGTCGTCGTCGTCGTCGTCCACGTCGTCGTCACCTTTGTGGTCGTGGTCGCCGTCGGCGTCGCCGTCGGCGTCGCTGCCGCCGTTGTCGTCGTCGTCGTGGTCCTCGTCGTCCTCGTCGTGGTCGTTGTCGTCGTCGTCGTCGTCGTCGCTGTCGTCGTCGCCGTCCTCGTAGTCGTCGTCATCGTCGTCTTCGTCGTCGTCCCCGTCGTCGTCCTCGTCCTCTTTCTCGTCGTCGTGTTCGTCGTCGTTGTCGTTGTTCTCGTCGTCCTCGTAGTCGTAGTCTTCGTCGTTGTCGTCGTCGTCATCGACCTATTCGACGTCCTCGTCGTCGTCGTGCTCGCCGTGCTCGTCGTCGTTCTCGTCGTCCTCGTCGTTCGCCCTCGACGCCCTCGTCATCGTCCACGCCGTCGTCGTTGTCATCGTCGCCGTCCTCGTCGTTGTCGCCGTCCTCGTCGTCGTCCTCGCCGTCCTCGTCGTCGTGCTTGTCGCGGTCGCCGTCGCTGCCGTCGTCGCCGCCGTCGTCGTCGTCGTCGCCGTCGGCGTAGTCGGCGTCGTCGTCGTCCTCGTCCTCGTGGTCAGTGGCTTCACGTCAGCGTCGTCGTCGCCGTCCTCGTCGTCGTCGTCGTCGTCGTCCCCGGCGTCGTCGTCGTCGTCGTCGTCGTCGGCGTTGTCGTCGCCGTCGTCCTCGTCGTCGTTGTCATCGCCGTCCTCGTCGTCGTCCTCGTCGCCGTCGCCGTCGTCGTCGTCGTCCTCGTCGTCGTCGTCATCCTCGTTGTCCTCGTCGTCGTCGCCGCCGTCGTCGTCGTCGTCGTCGTCGTCGCCGCCACCGCCGTATTTGTCGTCCTTGAGTCGTCGTCGTGCTCGTCGTGGTCGTCGTCGTCGCCGTCGTCGTCGTCCTCATCCTCGTCGTCGTCGTCGTTCTCGTCGTCGTCCTCGTCGCGGTCGTCGTCCACGTTGTCGTCGTCGTCGTCTTCGTCGGTTTCGTCGTCGACGACGTCGGCGTCGTAGACGACGTCGTCGTCGTCGTGATGCCCCGACGCCGCTGCCTTCGTCGTCGTCGTTGTCCTCCTCATCCTCGTCGTTGTCGTCTTCCTCGCCGTCGTCGCCGTCGTCGTCGTCGATGCCGTCGTCGCTGTCGTCGTCGGAGTTCTCGTCGTCGTCGTCTTCGTCGTCGTTGTTCCCCTCGTCGTCGTCGTCGTCGTCCTCGTCGTCGTCGTTCCTCGTCGTCCTCGTCGTCGTCGTCGTTGTCCGTGTTCTCGTCTTCGTCGTCGTCGTCGTCGTAGTTTGTTTGTCCTCGTAGTCGTCGCCCACGTCGTCGAAGTCGTCGTCCCTGTCGTCCTCGTCGTTGTCTTCGTTCTCGTCATTGTGCTCGTCGTCGTCGTTGTTGTCCTCGTCGTCCTCGTAGTCGTCGTCGTTGTCGTCATTGACGTCGTCGTCGTCCTCGGCATCGCCGTTGTCGCTGCCGTTGTCGTCATCGTACTCGTCGTCGTGGTCGTCGTCGTTGTTGTCCTCGTTGTCCTCGTCTTCGCCATCGTCCTCGTCGTCGTCATAGTCCTCGCCGTCGTTATCGTAGTCGTTGTCGTCGTCGTCGTCCACGTTGTCGATTGCCTCATCGTCGTCATCGCCATCCTCGTCGTCGTTCTCGTCGCCGTCGCCGTCGCCATCGTAGTTGTTGTCATTGTCGTCCTCGTTGGTGGCGTCGTCGACGTCGTCGGCGTCGTCGTCCTCGTCCTCGTCCTCGTCGTCGGCGTCGTCCACGTCGTCAGTGTCGTCGCCGTCGCCGTCTTCGTCGTCGTCGTTGCCCTCGTCATCGTGGTCGCCGTCGTCGTCGTCGTTGTCGTCGTCGTCGTTGTCGTCGTCCTCATCGTCGTCGTCGTCGTCGATGCCCTCGTTGTCGTAATCGTCGTCGACGTCGTCGTCGTCCTGGTCGTCGCTGTCGTCGTTCTCGTCGTCGTCGTCGTCAGTGTCGTCGTGGTCGCCCTCGTCGCCGCCGCCGCCGCCTCCGCCGCCGTCGTTCGTCGTCGTCGTCACCGCCGCCGCCGCCTCCGCCGTCGTCGTCGTCGTCGTCGTAGTTGTCGTCCTCGTCGACGATGTCGTCCTCGTGGTCGTCGTTGTCGTCGTCGTTCTCGCCGTCGTCCTCGTCATTGTCGTCGTCCACATCGTCGTCGTCGGCGCTGTTCTCGTTTCCATCTTCGTCGCCGTCGTCGTCGTCCTCACCGTCGTCCTCGTAGTTTTCGCCCGCATCGTCGTCGTCGTCCCCGGCGTCGTCGTCATTGTCGACCCCGCTCTCGTCGTTGTGCTCGTCGTCTTCGTCGTCGTCGCCGTCGTTGTCCCTGTCGTCCTCGTAGTTGTCGTCGTCGTCACCGTCGTCGTCCGAGTCGAACCCTCGTCGGCGTCGTCGTCCTCGTCGTCCTCGTCGTCCTTCGTCATCGTCATCGCCGTCGGCGTCGTCGTCATCGTCGTCGCCCTTGTCGTTGTCGTCGTTCGCGTCGTCGTCATCGCCGTCGTCATCGTCGTCGCCGTCGTTGCCGTCGACATCATCGTTGTCGTCCTCGGCGTCGGCGTCGTCGTCGTCTTCGTCGTCCTCGTCGTCTTCCGTTTGCCTCATCCTCGTCCTCGTCGTCAGCGTCGTCGCCATCGGTGCTGTTGTCGTCGAAGTCCTCGTCGTTGTCTTCCTGGTCGTCGTCGTCGTAGTCGTCTTCGTCCTCGTCATCGTCGTCGTGGTCGTCGTCTTCGTCGTCGTCGTCCCCGTATTCGCCGTCGTCCTCGTCGTCGTCGTCGTCGGGGGCGTCGTTGTCGCCGTCGTCCTCGTCGTCGTCGGCGTCGTCCTCTTCGTCGTCCTCGACGTCGTCGTCGTCCTCGCCGCCGCCGTCGTCGCCGCCGCCGTTGCCGTCGTCAACGTTGTCGCTGCTGCCGTCGTCGTCGTGCTCGTAGTCTTCGTCGTCGTCATCGTCCTCGTCGTCGTCGTTGTCGTTGCCATTGCCGTCGTTGTCGTCGTCTTCGTCGTCGTCGTCGTCGTCCTCGTCGTCGTCGTCGTCGTCGTCGTCATCGTCGTCGTCGTCCTCGTCGTCCTCGTCGTCATCGTCATCGTCCTCGCCGTCGTCGTCGCCATCGTCGCCGTCCTCGGCGTTGACGTCGTCCGCGTCGTCGTCAATGTCGCCGTCGTCGTCGTCCTCGTATTCCTCGCCGCCGTCGTCGTCGTCATCCTCGTTGTCAGCGCCGTCGTCGTCGTCGTCATCGTCGCAGCCGCCGTCGCCGTCGCCTTCGTCGTCGTCGTCGTCGCCGCTTTCGTGGTCGTCCTCGTCGTCGTCGTCGGCAGCGTATTCCTCGTCGTCGTCGTCATCGTCGTCGCCGTCGTTGTTATTGCCGCCGTTCTCGTTGTCGTGCTCATCGTCGTCGTCGGCGTCGTCGCCCCCGTCGTCGTCGTCGTCGACGTCGTCCTCGTCGTCGTCGTCGCCGCCGTCGTCCTTGCCGTCGTCCTCGCTGCCGTCGCCGTCGTGCTCGTAGTCGTCGTCGTCATCGTCGTCATCGTTCTCGTCGTCGTCGTCGTCGCCGCCGTCCTTCTTGTTGCCAGCGTCGTCGCCGTGTTCTCGTCCTCATCGTCGTCGTCCTCGGCGTCGTCGTCGTCGT